ATTTTTGTAAAATGGCAGTGGTAGTATAATGTTTCTTTCGAGTTTCATTCATTTTATAATTTCATTCCTTTAATTATTATATCAATTATGAATAGCATTTGTGTTATATCGTTGTTGCGATATGATTAATGTTATTAACGTATAAATTATCAATGTATTTATTATTTAATTTTCTGAAATAGGTATATTAATATTCCGTGGAATATTGTATTAATTCAGATATCATATTCATGATTTTATTTTCGGTCAATAAATTCTGTGAAAATTTAATTTAATACTTCACTCGCATTAGAATTGGGATATTAAAATTCTTCGAATTTTATATGAAATAAAAATGAAAGACAAGACAACAAAGAGCTTTTCTTTAGTTATTTATGTTATACAATCATTTTTATATTTATATTAAACCCATAAGCATTAAATCTCCGTTTCAATCATTCGCAACCCACGTGCAATCTTAACACTGACTCCAACGCTAACTATAATACCTCTGTCGACACGATCATGTGGTACTGGTTTTCATAGAATAGGAAATATTTAGATGTTAGACCATATAGTGTTTGTATGGAAAGATGAGTGTAGCAAGTGTATATAAAAATTTTGTGTAAGCGATCTCAGCCTGAAATTTATATTACGATAATGAGTGTAGTGTGGTATGGTCTAGGTGTTTTGCATACGGCATGACTGAAGAGAGTAAAAGAGAGAGTGTGATGTCGGAGAGTATATAAATAAGAAGAGAGCATTGCGAGCTGGAAAAAAGGAGAATAAACGTTTGACTAAATTACGATCCATCGTAACAGATCCAGCCCAAAACATCTCGTAATCAGACGAATACATGCCAGCTTCTCCATTTACACTACTTTCATCCAATTATCGACACATATGTTACGCGAAAAATTGATAAAAGAATTTCTTTTTTAATAATAAAACAGGTTTATTTAATTAACATATCACACTAGATTCTTCTGAATTCTAACACGCAATCCTCTGTTCTCGACTACACACCATCTATGTGCCTCGGGCCCTTGCATCCCTATTTAAAGCCAGATCTATCTCATTCTATACACACACTCTCTCTCTCAATCATTCTACAGACATTCCTACAAAAGATTTGTCGCTATCATTTGTTTTTTCCGCGCCAAACACTCGAATCGAATCTGATCTTATATACACCGTTGTCATCTGTTCCGTCCCGGAGAGCGAGTTTATAACATAATTTTATTCCAAGACTTACACTTCTGCCAGACCTAACGGTTTATTTTATATTTTATACCGCGACTGCAATTCCGAAGGTTCGATGTGCCTCAACGCTGTTCTAGCGGATTAAGCTTATAAAGGTAAAGCAAAATTAGGTATTTTACTAGAAACCAGACGCGACAGATGGGACCCACTTGTGACAGACCCAACAAGCGACGGACGGACGGCACTTATAAATCACGTCATTGACCATCAGAAATCGGCTCCTTGACAGTTTCCTACTCCTTAGCCAAAGGTCCTTATGTCACACCCTCTGTCCAATTAAAACTCTTTACCTTTCCACCACCAGCATCTATTTTACCCAATCAGAACTAAACTAGAGAAAACACCGGGCCGAACACGACGAGACAGGACACAGAGCAAAATCGAGAAGTCAGTTCATCTTCGGCACCGATCCTTAAAACATCTAAATTACATATACAAACGCGTGTTCGAAGCGGTACTCCGTTAACGTCTACGTTATAACTATTCTACGCTTTTCTCTAAATAAACACTCTCTTATGACCACAGACATTCTGGATCATTATTAGTACAACTAGTCACGCAATATTAATTTGGCGCGTGATAAGCGTTCTTGGAAATCGAAGAGATTCTATACCGTAGGACGCTACATCGTCACTCGACGTTAAGGTGGGATAATCCTTATCTACTCCTTACAACATATATGCAACCCTGACTATAATACCTCTGTCCACACGATCGAACGCGAAACATCTCGTAAGCAGACAAAAGATTAAAACACCCGTCCCTCTCTGATCCTGCTCGCACTCAGAATCCAATAATTATTCCAACGATCCCCTTTCATCTGCCAGACGTACCTTTGGTATCTCTCAATTGCACGAGCCAGACGAAAGATTCCGTCATAACGATGCGCGGAGGACAAGACGGATAGCCGAGCGTCTGGTCGGTGTTTCCAGTTAGGTCTCTCGCTTACAGCACGTGGCAGAGTGAGGGGTAAAGTTTCGTTTCGTAGCCAGCAGGAAAACTATCCACGGATTGGAAACGGGAAACTCGCGGGGCTGGCGCGCTTCCAACTTCTCTCTCCCTTAGACGGGCCACTCTCGCGACTACGTACTTACCGGCGGGTTTTGTTTTATGCCCGGGCATTTTGTGCCGTCGCGTTTAAACATATCCCGGAACGCGGACGAAGCTTCGCCTTCCGCTTCCTACCACTCACCCCGGGCACACGCGTTATTTTAATTCCAGACGCCTCGCGGCCACGCGTATTTTTGGAGGCAGACGCGCGAAGCCTCTACACCCCCGCGTGTGGTAGCCTTTGTGTCCAATCGTCGAATGCTTGCGAATGTTTTAACATCGAATCTACCGTGGTTAAATGGCCGATTTTTAGACTTTCATTCGAAATTCCGCGTTTAGAGTTGTCTTGGTTACTGCTCGCGATTTTTCTTCCAATATACAGTAGCTTATGAAAGTATGTACACCCCTGCGTGTGGCAGCTACCACGTCTTTGTATCGAATTACCAAATGTATAACAGTGTATAGTACCGAATCTACCGTGGTTAAATGACCGATTTTGATACTTTCATTCGAAATTCCGCGTTCAGAGTTGTTGTCTTGGTCACTCCTCTCGATTTTTCTTCCAATAGCTCATGTAAATATCTACACCCCTGTGTGTGGTATTTAGAATGTCTTTGTTTCGATTAGAGTGCTTGCGAGTGTTTAATATCGAATCTATCATAAGTCTAATGACCGATTTTTTAATTTTTATTCGAAATTCCACGTTCAGAGTTGTCGTCTTGGTCACTCTTCACGATTTTTCTTCCAATGTATACTGGCGCATGAAAGTATCTACACCCCTGGGTGTGGTATTTAGCATGTCTTTGTTTCGATTAGAGTGCTTGCGAGTGTTTAATATCGAATCTATCATAAGTCAAATGACCGATTTTTTAATTTTTATTCGAAATTCCACGTTCAGAATTGTCATCTTGGTCAGTCTTTACGATTTTTCTTCCAGTGTACAGAGGCTCATGAAAGTATCTACACCCCTGTATGTAGCATCTATCATGTCTTTGTGTTCAATCGCCGAATGCCTGCGAATATTTAACATCGAATCTACTGTATTCAAAATGACTGATTTCTAAACTTTTATTCCAAATTCTGCATTCAGCATTGTCGTCTTGGTCGCTCCTCACGATTTTTCTTCCAATGTATAGTGGCTCATGAAAATATCTACACCCCCGCGTGTAGCAACTACAACGTCTTTATATCAAATTGCTGAATGCCTGTGAGTGTTTAACACTGAATCTACCGTAGCCCAAATGACCAATTTTTAAATTTTTATTCGAAATTCCGCGTTCATTGTGGAATAATAAATAATATTTATTTTTCATATCTATGAAAGCAATAGCGACCGTTGAAATACTGCCTTTCATTTATAATTTAGAGACTGATTTATATCCTTTTCCTCAATCTTGAAATGCATATATTTCTTTTCTCGTAATTAAATATTTTCCAAATAATTCACAATTTTTATAACGCTGAGTAATATATAAAAGATTCGTGGAAGCCATAAATATGACAAATATATATAAAACTCTCGAAAATAGTACTGATCGTGAGTAAATGAAAATATAAAAATTAACAGAGGAGCTATATTTCCAATAAAAAAGATACGAAATAATTAATTTTATTTCTCTTAATTTCGCGTCTCTGTTATTATATTTTCAACGAATTTTTATACTCGGAAATACGCGTGTGATTTGTTCGATATTTTCACGGAATTGTAGTTAATGTATGTAAATCGATCGCGACGAATCATTAGATCCTTGTTTCAGCGGTTATAAACGGGATAGTAAATTTCGATTCACGGTCTCCTCTCCCCTTCGTGGCAGTATATCGTTCAATTTGGCAGCTTGTTCCGTGACGTCATATTTTTCAGTTTTTCTCCTTTTTACATGACACGTGCTTCGGCATAAAACCTTGGTGAAATAAGATCCTCTCGACGCTGCTTTTTCATCTTCGTGCCGTGAGTTTCCGCATCGTTCGTGATTTTCACTGGGACGCTTTTAATTGAATTATTTCCGAGTTCTGATTAAAAAACGCAGCGATACAATTGAGCGAAACTACGTGCCCTGGCATAGGCGACGATAGCCGGCCAAAACGAATGTTGCCTTGGGAAAATTTGTACACCGACAGTGGTACTTCCGTTTTAGATTTATTATTACTTTAAAATAGCGAGTTTAAAAATTTCTCATTTTCGCCACGGTGAAATTCTTTATTTACGCTGCTTATCGTAATATATTCCGTCTATATTTCCTTTTTAATCATTTTCTCATGGACAGCGAAACGTTGGTACCGAATAATATTATTTTCCTGAAATTAGGGGGTTTTAAATTAAAAATTCTTATTAAAGCAACTTCTTCATTTCTATTTATTATTAATATATTCTGCTTCTAATTGGAATTAATTTTATCTTATACTTTTCTATAGAATATCAAAATTAATAGGAAAAGGTTGAAAATAATTACTTTTATTATTACTTTAGAATTGCGAGTTTTTAATCTGAAAATTTGTTGATTTATCGTATATTGTATATTGAGAAATGAAAATAATAAAATTTTGCACTTTACAGGCTTTGAATTAATTTTTTAAGAAAATTAAAATTGATCGAGTGATGTTATTTTTAAATTTATTGTTATTTATTTCTAAATTTTCAATTTATTATTGCTTTTAAATTTATATTAGTACATGCTTGTTTAACGTGAAAACAATTTTGTCTTTTACAGATCCGCCTATAGTGACGGTGAAGCCCGAGAATATCACTGTAAACGAAACCGACGATTTTATAGTATTTTGCGATTACAATGCTAATCCGGCCTCTCTGATAAAAGTAGTATGGTAAGTATATTTGCAATTTACCGAAGTTATGGGTGTAATTTATTTTATCAAATTTGCAGGCACAGTTTAATTCGATAATATTCCAGTGTTAATGAAGCAATAGGTATCGAGGGAAATTTTATTATTAAACGTCAGGTTCGAAATTACAATTAATTCGAAATATTGATTCTTACGTTTCGGCCAAAATTCGACTGAAACTGTAGAGAGGCGAATACATATAGCGCTTACATTGTACATAAATCGAACTGCACACGGTTGTTGGTGTTTATTAAATAGACATAGTTTATTGACTCCGTTATAGTGCATTTGAGTTTATGAAAGCGCGATGTTTAATACCATCCGCAATCGAATTAGTAATTTACAACTCCGTAATTCCGATTTACAAATACTGGAGAACAGAAATCGAGACGGTTCTACATAACGTAGTTTGATCGGTAATAATCGAATCTCCTGTTTTCGCGATTTAAACAAAATTACGTACATTTCATAATCAGGCTAATAAATTTAAATATCATATTTTAATATAAAATATATAATTATTAAATATTATTTTTAAATATCGGATAGTACATTTAAACGTCACTAATTTTAAATACCAAATACGTTAACGCATTTCGTGCATAATATTGTACTTTCCATATCATGGGAATATGTACATATGTCAAACACGTATATATATTTCATTTTCTATTCAGCTTCCACTACGCTCTTATTTTCTCATCCTAATAACATAATAAAACATAATGCATTTTCTTCGTACATACTAATATCGCAGTATTCTCACAGCTCGTTGTATCTTCTTCGAGATCATGAAAAGATTCAATTTCCATTATAATAATATATAACGAGTACTATTGACCATCTCTCGTTAACATTCGAAATGAATATTTAAGAGTGGATATTTAAGAAATAAAGGCACTATTTCGTGTTAATCGAAGGGTGTATTTGGGCCCTGGTACCTATTTGGGGGCCTGGTACAGAAGGCACGGTGTCTCGTCATGGAAAAGCTCTGTCCCATGATATCTAGTCGCAAACAAACTGTCTTTTTCAAAGGCTAGCCCAAACATTCGACATAATTCGCGTGTCTGCAAGTCATGGATCGCTGGCCATAAAAATATTGTGAGGCTCCCATCTTTCCACGGAGGTTATGTTGAAGTTTTGTGATTCCTATGGTGCTGCAATTTGCTATCCTGGTGGTCGTCCCGCCATGATAGGTAGCAGGTAAAAGGACGCGAGGAAGGGGTGCCTTTCGTCCTGGGCCTGTTAGTGGACTCGTCAGTAAGGCTTCCTAGCAGACCCTGCCTTAAAGAGGGGTACTTAGGTAACATAGGAACTTATATTTATGAGATTCGAGAATTCATCGAAGGCTTGCGAAAAATCTCGAACCCCCATTTCTTATTTAGCAGTGGAGGTGTGAACGTTGAAATAAAATATAAATAATTGGAAAAAATAATTATGTGGGGATCCTATTCCTATAGGGTTATTATGTTATCTTGTGGTTCCTACGGCACTGCCGTTTGGTATCCTAATGGCCGTGTGGCCATGATAGGTAGCAGAAAGAAGGACGCGAGGTAGGGATGCCTTTCGTCCTGGGCCTGTTAATGGACTCGTCAGTAAGGCTTCCTAGCAGACCCTGCCTTAAAGAGGGGTACTTAGGTAACATAGGAACTTATATTTATGAGATTCGAGAATTCATCGAAGGCTTGCGAAAAATCTCGAACCCCCATTTCTTATTTAGCAGTGGAGGTGTGAACGTTGAAATAAAATATAAATAATTGGAAAAAATAATTATGTGGGGATCCTATTCCTATAGGGTTATTATGTTATCTTGTGGTTCCTACGGCACTGCCGTTTGGTATCCTAATGGCCGTCTGGCCATGATAGGTAGCAGGTAAAAGGACGCGAGGAAGGGATGCCTTTCGTCGTGGGCCTGCTAGTGGACTCGTCAGTAAGGCTTCCTAGCAAGCCCTGCCTTAGACGGGAAATACTTGGATAGCATAGGAACTTGTATTTATGGAAGTCGAGGATTCATCGAAGACTTGCGAAAAACCTCGAATCCCCGTTTCTTATTTAGCACTGAGGGTGTGAACGTTGGTCCTTACAATATAAACCAGCCCCCATCGACTCGGGACCCTCGATATCTCTATAAGTGGAAATACCTCAGCTTTTCTTTTCCACATTAACGGATACGTTCCTACGTTCACGCATCTTTGAAGACATCTAAACCCGAATAAAATATGAAAATCACGTCTAAATACCCCGCAGAAGTTCAATCACAAACGGTTGCAAAAATTGATCAGCGAGCAGGGCGCCTTTAAAAACATAAATCTGGCGCATCTATAAGCGCGAGCACAAATAATCCATTGAATTTATCGACGCGAAGGCCATTAAAATGGAGGCAGCAGCAAATTTAGCGCTTTTATCCCGCCGTTTACCGCACGGATCAGCTCGGAACAGCCTCGGCCATTCGCGCGCTCTTTCTCCAGCTCAGGGTAATGGCGAAAGCAGGGCGCGCGGCGTCTATGGTGTACTACCGCGATAGAAATTGATAAAACGCGCTCGAACACAAATTGAAGAGAGGAAAAAAGCAGCGAGAGGGGGAAAAAGCAGGAATTTATGTTGCCTGTCTTTACCACGTGGTCTCCTGAATCAACGTAAATCTATGTTTTTCATTCTTCAGATGTTGACACGTTCTCTCTTTCTCGTGAACGATTTCGCTCGTTTATCAAGCTTGCTACTTCCGAACTACCACGAAGAACTTCAGTCGCTTTACGGTACCTCTTCGTCAGATCGATACTGCGTTCTTCTTGCGGGGAAAAACGGAGATAAAAATAGAAATAAAGATAGGCATAAAAATGGCGGGATAAAATAAATGAACGAAAGAGGAGGGAGGAATTCGTGAGCGGGTAATTTAATAAGGAATTATGACAGAAGGGTAAATTTTTCCACGTTCAACGCGTATTGAATTAGTCTCGCTGTGAATAGAGTAATTGTTTGAGAACTTTATCGAGAATTTTTATTAGTCTGTTACCTTTTCCCCGAGCTTCCATGGTCTACAATTTCCACTATCCTCGTTTCTCCTTTATTTTACAGCTGATATTTAGAGCTGGTATGAAGTATTTTGATTGATCTCGTTCTTCGTTTCGTCACAGAAAATGGAAGAAAGGAAGTACAAAACGCATTGAAAATGCCGTGTAAAAGAAGAGAGTTAGGCATGAATCGTGTGATAAATCGCGAAACTGTCCGGCCCACGAAGCATTATTTTTCAACTTTCGTGTATACATTTTCTTTTAAAATCCGTCGTAAATCTTCTCAACTTGTTCAAAGGTACATCGGTTCCGCGAGAAGATATAATATATCAATTCGATGTATCAAAATAGTTTCCCTTTTTTTCAGCTATATTCTTCCCTCTCGTTTTACATTCTTTCTTCCCTTTTTCTTCGATTACGCTTTATTCCCAGGAATACTAGCGATTGATACTAATTCAATTTTTATATTTTTCTCTTCTTTTACTTTTTTTAAGATCCTATTTTTACGTGGCGATTTTCCTTCCTCGACGGAGTTTCGTTTATTACCGTTGAAATTTTTGTTTATTATTTATTTATTAAGAGACGATTAAATTTCGGTTTAATTCTTCGATTTTTGTGTATGATTTATGCGATGTGGTGGTGTGTCTTGATAAACTTTCCGTTTAAATAGGTACACTGATTTAATTCTTAATTACGTAGTTTGACACGACGCAAAATTACTCGATGGCACAGAATTACTGTCACTCTCCATTCCATTTAATTACTACGCCTATGTATCTTCCACGCAATATACACTTACATATTTTACCTCTATTCCTCTATTTCACTTCTGCAATCTTCTTCATTCCCTTCAGCATTGTTAATCGGACATTTCAAAATAGATCCAGTCAAAAATTTCTATTATAATGTTTTACAATAATAATAATATTATTTTGAACCAGATTTATTTTTATTACTTTCCGAGTAGTACATACATTTGAAATTCTTCAAATGTTAATTTTCTAGGCTACAATTAGTCGTTAAAAACCAGCTGTTAAAAGTGACAGAAAAGTGGAGTGTCTGACATTAAAGTATAAAATAGGAGTATATAGTCATTGTCAAATTGTTGACTGTCACACATTCAAAATTGTCGAGTTCTTACACTCCAATAGTTTTCCAAAATTTGTATCCTGTGACTGAAACATCTAGAATTAATCACTTGCCGTATTTTGACGAGTCTGACTCGTGATGAAGATTTTGGCCCAAACAGGAATATCACGAGTCAGACTCGTGAACAGAAAGTCGGCCCAAACATGAGTATCACGAATCAGACTCGTGAACAGAATATTTTTCTAAATATAATTGTGAAACTGTCATTTATTATTAAATATAACATATTTATAATATTTATAGAAGGAAAAAGAATTACAGTTTACTTCCACAACAGTAATATCGCGTAGTAAATAGTATATACTAAAATTGACTTATTTAATTTAATAATATAGTAAAATTGACTATATCACACGTATTTATATTTCGCCTCGTATTCTTTCGAGCTAAATGGGAAGGGGTGAAACAGTCTTCGAATTTATCAACTTCTTCGACCATAACTAGAGAAACTCTACAGTCTAGACTGTCAGCAGTCCCAGCACCCAAACCTCAATGGTTCATCCCTCAGTCTCTGCCATCATCGACACCAACTCGTTCCCAAGCTTCCAAATTCTTTTCCTCTTTGCAATACCCTATACTCTCTTCCTCCTGTCATCACCGTCTCTCGTACCATCATGGAACGTCCATTCCTTCCTTTCTGTTTCCCGAAACATCGAAACCCTGCGGCAGCTGTGCAGCCCATGGGCTACAAATAGCCGCGTTCCATGGGACGCGTTAAACGATGGTTAAACCCGTTATCCTAAGAAGCGTTAGAAGGCATCCTCCATCTTTGGTGGTCGGGGTGCTCGCCCTGCCGGGAATCCAGCGGGCCAGCAGTTCACT